ATATATATATACATATATATATTTGAGAAAGTATCAATTACTAATCTCAAACTATTTTTAAATAAAGAAAAAAATCTCCATCATGTGTCTGATCTTGGCGTTTAAGACAATAGAAAGAAATATTCAGGTAGAACTTATCAATAAAGTACTTGTAAAATCTACAGTCTCTAACTTGGTATACAGCTCCATTCATTCAAAAAATATGTTTTGAGATACAGTAGGGAAATAACAGGAAAGGCCTCTTCCCCTGTAGCGCTTCCACCTGGCTGGGCTGATCGGGAAGGTTAACTTTACACTAATCATTGAGCAGTGAGCTTAGTAAGAGTAGGGGGACTGCAGTGTGGGTTTGAGAATAGAGAAATTAATTCTAACTGTGGGCCCCAGCAAAGCATTTTGGGACACTGGCATTTGTGCTGATTAGGCATGAGTAGTTTTAACAGTGGGAGCTGGGTAGTTATTACAAAATGAAGCACAGATAGCCAGGTGTGGTGGAGCAGGCCTGTAATCCCAGTGCTTGGGAGGCTGAGGCAGGAGGATCACCATGAGTTCAAGGCCAGCCTGGGCTACATAGTGAGACTGCGTCTCAACAAACAAAACAAAATCAAGATGAAGTAAGAGAATCAAAACACGAACGGAGGACGTCATGAAGATATTGACCGCGGCAAGCCCGCCTCTTGGCACGCGCCTTCTCCCCAACCTGCGTTAGCTCTGATTCTCCGAGGCGCGCCCCTGTCCTCCCCCGCGGCGCATCCTGCCCCGCACCGTCCCTGCCCACGCCTGGCTCCTCGGTCTGCATCTTCTGAGGCTGGTTTTCCAGCCATCCACTTGATTACGCAATATACTCCCAGTGAGACCTATTCTTGGTTGTTCTTGCTTCAATGAGGCAGGAAAGGTTTCTATATTAGAATTTAAAATTTAGAAAATTCTGACGCACACACTATGTCTGATTGCATCTCCAGCACGGCCACAGACAGCCCTCCCGCCCTGCGCTTTGTTCTACCCTGGGATTCTTTTCCCGTCCAGAATTAGAACCTTGAACACATCCCCTCCCCGAATCTGGCTGGGACAAGCCCTGAGGCCGGTTGGGGGGCCGTCAGAGGCTGGGTCACAGAAGCACCGTGGAGACGCGGCCTTTGGAACACAGTCCTGCCATGTGGGGACCGCAGACCCTGGCTGAGGCCGGAGGCTCATGAGTCCCCGGTGAGCTCCCAGATCACGGGAGGAGACCCGAGCAGGTGGGCTGTGGGCCTCCCGCCTGGCTTCTCGGTGCCAGTGATCTCTCAGTAGCACTTGGCCTCCCCAAAGATCCTAAGTCACAGCTGCACTCTGGGGCCCTGAAGGCCCTCAGCTCAACAGCAGAACCCATGCATGTCGCCCCCAGCACGCCAGGCAGGGCCCAGGGCTCCATGCATAGGAGGCGGTGTATCCGGGTCAGAAAGTGAGGTTCAAACACCCACAGCACTGGCGGGCAGCTGCAGCTGCGCACGGCTCAGGTGAGGAAGTAGACTGAGAACTGTGTCCTCAGGTTGCTGCCGACAGCACAACATGCCGTTTACAGTAAACTTCTATCGTAGGAAGAAGGGTTATACTCTAAAGTAACAGCAAAAATCACCGTGCTGGCGCACCCCTGTAATCCCACCACTCAGGAGGCTGAGGCAGGAGGATCACTTCGAATTTGAGGCCAGCCTGGGCCACGTAGTTCAAAGCCAGCTTCAACTACATAGCAAGACCCGGTCTCAAAAGACAAACTTTTTTAAAGGAATAACAATAAAAATATAAAACAGTAAATACAGGAACTGGTAACATACTTCACCATTGCCAAATATTCTGAGCTGTGCGGGATGGCAGGAGCCTGACTTCTACACGACTGCAGCGTGGTAGCTTTGTCCCCGCCCCTAGGACGTCACCAGGAACTCCCCAGCTCCACCGCACTCTCGCTCTGCGGGGGGTACTGCTGAAGGAAGCGATGCCCTGGGGGCCACTGCCCAAGTGGACCGGAAAAAACAAATGCTAGGCACACGACGACTTGGAGCCTGCGCCCTCTGGACTGGGCCAAGGCACCGAGGGGCATGCCCGGGTCTTCCTACGGGAGCAACAAGGCTGAAGCAGGCCAGGCACACTCCGGTCCGAGCAGCTCCCTGGAGGCCGGTCCTGCGGTGGGGAGCCCAGGCAGCCCTTGGCGCTGCCCCTCGCCAGCTGCGCAGCGTCCGGCTGTGCGAGACACGCCTGTCCCGGCTCCCGCCTGGGCCCCAGAGGAGCGCACGAGCACAGGAGCCCAGGACAGCCCCTCGGCATGATGGCCAAGGTGGGGCGCAACCCTGCAGGAAGGTAAAGGACACAGAGTGCCCTGCACGGAGCTTCCCGGCCTGACGCGCAGGCGGACGGGCTCTCCCAGTCCCGTCCTCCTTTCCTGTAGCTCCGTGGCGCAGCCTGCGGCGCATGATGCTCTGGTTCCTGGGCAAAAGTGGGGCACACATATAACACAACTCTGCACTCCATACAGCCTCCCCCTCCCTCCAGCTCCCTCCGACTCTTGGTCCCCTTTCCCTCCGCAGAAGTTCTTGCCCCCCGCCCCCATTTCCTACTATCTTTTATTTTGATATTTAATTTATTTATACTTTGAGTTTCTCATATGAGAGAAACCATGCGATACTTAAGCTTGTTCGTCAACTAATGTTAATTTCTCTTCACATTATGGTTCCAACATCTATTCATTTTCCTACAAATGACCCAAGTTTATCTTTTTTATGGCAGAGTAGTACTCTACTACATGTGGGAGCACCACATTTTCTTTTTTGTTTGCTTGTTGTTGTTGTTGTTTTCTAGACAGGGGCTCGCTATGTAGCCCAGGCTGGCCTTGAACTCATGGTAAACCTCCTGCCTCAGCCTCCTGAGTGCTGGGATTACAGGCATATACAACACCACATTTCTTTGTCCATGCATTTGCCAATGGACATACAGGGCGCTTCCAAGATGTAACTGTGATGAGTGGTACTGCTATAAATATGGGCGATGTGGAGCACCGTGATACAACCTCTTTAACTCTTTCGGGAAGACACAGAGAAGGGGAACAGCTGGGTCGAATGTTGCTTCTAGCTCTAGGTTTTGAGAAATGTCCACACTGACACTTCCCACTGACAATGTATGTTTTTGGGTTTTGTTTTTGTTTTTGTTTTTGTTTTGTTTTTGTCTTTTTGAGACAGGGTCTCGCTATGCATTTCAGTGTGGTCTTAAGCTCACTTTGTAGCCCAGGCTGGCCTCGAACTCACAACAGTTCTCCTGCCTCAGCCTCCTGAGTGCTGGGATTACAGGCGTGTGCCACCATACCTGCCCCACTGACAATGTAGAGGGCTTCCTTTCCCCACAACCTGCTCTGACCACGCAACTGTGACGCTTTCAGCCCCTGGGAAGACAAATGCCTGCTCTTTCAGTATCATCTCTCCTAAGGGCAAAAAATAAGTGCTGTGACCTCAGAGGACTTTTGGGATGCCGCCTCCGGGAACCGGTGCCGTCTCAAGGAGGAGGAGAGACACCATGAGACCACAGGAAGCTTCCAACACAGCCCCAGCTGACCTCCCAGACAGGTGAGGGGCGACCCCAGGGGAGAGCCAGCTAGCAGAACTCACTCACCCTCACCATCATGAAAGAAAAATGACATGATTCCTCTTGCTTTGAGCCACTAAGTCTGGAAGGATTTGTTGGGTGGTAATGTAAAGCTGAAAACGAATTAGTGGCTTTTAAGTCCTTAAAGATGCCAAGAGGATTAAGGTAACATTAGAAATCAGGGTTTTTCATAACCTTGGGGTTGTTCCGGTTCGTTTCCTTTCACTTTGCAGTACTGGGGATTGAACTCAGGGGCTCTGCATTGAGCTACATCTCCTTTTAACTTATATTTTGAGACTGAGTCTCACTAGGTTTCTAAGTTGCTCGGACTGGGCTCAAATTGGCAACTCTCCTGCCTCAGCCTCCAGAGTGCTGGGATTACAGGTGCACATCACCATGCCAGAGTTGAATTTTTTTAAGTGAGGTCTTTCTTTCGTATTAAAGCTTTCTAAGGCAATGACTGTCCTCTTTCACATAAAATTTTGTGAAGTATGTGGCAGTGCACACACATAGCCCTGAGCCTACCCAACGAGCCCTCTAGTTCAGGGTGGCCCAAAGGATGCTGTTCCCACGGCCCTCAGGGGAGCCTGCCTTTCTGTAGAGTGAGGACTTGTGTGCGAGGCATGTGTGAAACCACTGTGTCAGAAATGCTCAGGGATGCAGCCGGGGAAGTGAGCAGACCTTCCTTGCACACTCCCAGCAGTGCCAAAGTGAGCATTCGGGGCCAGCACAGCGGGCAGGCTCTGCAAGGTCACCCAGGACACAGGGTCTGCTCCCAGCACCCTTTGAACCCTTCCCCCCATGGGGTCACCAGAGCCCCGTATGCACACTCACCCTGTTCGCAGCGGTGCTGCCAGCCGCACACTGGGACCCTTCCCACCAGCCACGCAGCCTCTGAGATGCCCTGTGGACGGGTGAGGGGAGGGCTGTGTTACCGCCAGATGCCAGCTCCCCACAGGGAGTGATCCTCAGGCCCTACACACACAGACAAATAAAAATTAAAGAGCCAAGTTGCCCAAGCTGCAGTATCCTGCGGTTCACAGCCCCGCGAGCTTCAGATTTCCATCTGATTTTAACCAGTGGGGGCCAAAATGCCTCCCCAACCTCTCCTCCAGCACCTGCTGCAACACCTTCCCTCCAGACCTGGGTGGTTTGAAGCAAAACAGACTTCTCTGGAGGCTGAAAGTCTGCAGTGAAGGTGTCAGGGAGGTCGAGGTCCGGGGACATGCCTAGGAGCGAACCCTCCCGCCCCTTCTCAGGTCCTGGGGCTGCATCCTGGCATCACTGCCATTCCTGCCTCTGTCATCACCGGGTGCCCGCCTTGTGCCTCTGCGAGCGCCGATTTCCTTCTCGTTCGGACAGCAGCAGTCAATGCATTCAGTCCCACCCACAGCCAGGGTGAGGTCACCTTAATTGGATTCCTTCTGCCAATACCCTGTTTCCTGATCAGCTCACGTTCCCAGGGACTGGGGTTAGGACCGCAACAGTTCTCTTTGGGGAGCACAGCTCAATCCACAACACAACCAAGTCTTAATTTTCTGCCACCCACCGGGCACTGTAGCTGACCTGATGAGTCTATTCCTGCACCTGGGGTGCATTGTCATAACCCTGCTTCATGGGGCCCCAGAAATGGAGCTTTTGTGTCAGCCTTGAAGCTATGGGTGTGAAACTTCCTGGCTCTGTGGGGCGCCTTAGTTTGCAGTCCCTGGCCTGGGACCACTGACATTTTTACGGTGAATGTGTACACGGCAGCAGCATCCTGCACTATGATTCAGCTGTAACTCTCAGGCAATGAATTGCTTTCTAGCTTTGTATACCATGACCCTGTGTACAGAAGTTAACGGAGGGGTAGATTTCACTAACTTGTGGAACAGATCTCTAATCCTGGGAGGGAGATCTATCTACAGAACCGAGTAGCAGAGACCGCAGCACGAGGATCAGCACTCTGATCCTTGGTGAGTTTTCCTTCATGGAAACAGCACCCAAGGGGACCCACAGGGATGCCTAGCTCCCATGCTGAAAGCCGCCTGGAACCATGGGACAGAGACAAGCACAGAGAGACTCTAAAACCAGGAATCTTCCTGTTCTCTTGTTTTCCCAAAATGATCAGATGAAACCCTGTAGAGGAAAAAAGATGAGCACAGGGAAGAAAAAGAGGGGGACTCTCCTGAATGGCCAGGCTGCTGGGGCATAGCTGAGCCCTAAGGGAAGTGACCCAGGCACAGTCTCCTGTGGGGAGCAGCACAGTGGTCCCCATGCCCCCTGGGAGCAGATGACAGATCAGGTCCACAGGACAGGCACTCAGAATGACACTGTGACCACGGATCTCAAATATGGTTCCCAGCCCAGTGACACCATCATATCCAGGGACCTTATTTGACACACGTGTCCTCTGGCCCCACTCCAGGCCTGCTGAAGTGAAAGTGCCAGGCTGGATTTCACCAAGGCAGGTGGACCTGACAACTGAGGTCTGCAAACCACTTGTCTTGGCTTGGGGTTATTTTGCAAGGGGAAACAATAATATACAGGACACATATTTTATAAGATTAATTATAATACTCACCCAGAGAATCATATACAAGAGAGTGCAAGAAATCTGTCCACACACTAAGACCAAGGAATCTAACTGAGGGCCTGGATCCCACAGAAATGTCCAGCATGAGTTCAGCTGAAGACCTAGAGCTCATAACAATGCCTCCCACAAGTCCAACTGGAGGCCCAGAGCCCATGACAACATCTCATGCAGGTCTATTTCAGATATCTGTGCTGGAAGCTCCAAAGGTCCATGGTGGAATCTAGAAAGTCTATGCCAGCAGGATGAAGGATCTGTGCCAGGCAGGCCAAGGGATCTGCACTGGAGCCAGGAAGCGACATTCAAAATAAGAACCACAGCTCCCCCAAAAAGTACCACAGCCATCCTCAGCAATAGTGAAAGCCTCTTCTGAGCTTCATCTCAGTCGGCAGCATTTCCATCAGTACTCTGACTTTCCAGGCTCCAGTCAGAGTCTCCAGTATAGTTTGCAGCATACAGGGCTGCCTCTTTGGCCAGTCTTTCAAACTTTTCTGAATTAATTCCAAAGGTTAAGTCATGTGGCCAGGCAACATCACAAAATAACCCCACTCCTGGTACCAATTTTGTGTTGGTTTGGGGGTTATTTTTGCAAGGAGAACAGTACAATACAGGACACATATTTTATAAGATTATTTATAATAGTCACCCAAAGAATCATATACAAGAGAGTGCAGGAAATCTGTCCACACACTATAGACCAGGAATCCAGCTGAGGGCCTGGATCCCATGATAATGTCCTCCATGAGTCCAGCTGAATACCTAGAGCCCATAGCAATGCCTCCCATGAATCCAACTGGAAGCCCAGAGCCCATGACAACATCTCATGTAGGCCTATTTCACGGATCTGTGTTGGGAAGGCCCATAGGTCAGTGGTAGAATCTAGAAAGTCCATGCCAACAGGATAAAGGGTCTGTGCTAGCAGGCTGAGAGATCTGCACTGGAGCTAGGAAGTGACATACAAAGTAAGAACCAAAGCTCCCCCAAAAGGGGGAGCCATCCACAGCAACAGTGAGGTCCCAAGCTCCTCTGATGATCAGGAAAGCTGAGGTCCCATCAGGGAAGCCAACGCAGCAAGTTTCTCCAGGAGACCAGCAGTGCACCATCTTACCCTCCAGAGCCAGGAAGCAATGCTCAAAATTAGGACCAGAGCGCTCCTAAAATGAACCAAAGCTATTTTCAGTGCCAATGAGGTCCCGAGCTCCTTGGAGGATGGAACAGCCAAGTTCATCAAGAAAGCCAGCATGATGAGCTCCTCCAAGAGAACCAACAGCTCCTTACAGCTTCTACCAGTTCCCAACAGCCTCATTTCTTCTTCTCTAGTTCTGCCTCTTATGTTGCTGGCAACAATCCCCAGGTGGGCCTCCCACACCCAGCGCCACACTTACTCAGTTCAGCTGGGGGTTACAAGTTGACCACCACTTGTCAATCCACCGCTCCACTGCACAATGGAATGGGATTTCGCCCCTTACCGTGTTTCATCTTGGGAGCTACTGTTCCCCTGATGGAAGGGAGAAACAAAAACATACTGATTAGAGAGTAACTGTGCTGGGAAAGCTAGAGAAAATGATTCATTTCTTCAATAGTCACCAACAGAAAATGTCACAAAAGATGCCAGGCCAACAGTCCATCGAAGGACCAGGCCACCACCCATAGCAGCACCCATAGAAGCTCTCTTCCATGTAGATGTCTGCACAAGCTGCAGTTGCTTACTGACAGTTCAGCTTGTTACCCAAAACCAAGAACACTCTCTTTAAATAATTAAAAATAAGACTTAAAGTTAGTAAAACTTAGTGTGTCGGTTAGCAGTGAATTTGACTGAAAACAGCATATGTTTAAGATAAATCCAGTATTCACTTCAGGCAAGCACTTTAAAGAAAAAATTAAAATTAAAAAGGCTCAGAGTCCAACCTGGATGTGCCGGGGCACACCTGTAATCCCAGCACTCAGCAAGCTGAGGCAGGAGGATCACTGTGAGTTCAAGGCCAGCCTGAGCTACATACTGAGACCCTGTCTCAAAAAACAAAAACAAACACAAAAACAGAAAAAGTTCCAAAGAAACCAGGAGTGATGGTGCACACCTGCAATCCCAGCACTCAGAGACAGGAGAATTGCTGTGAGTTGGAGGCCAGCCTGGGTTTCATAGTGAATTCAAGACCAGCCTGAACTACACTGCAAGACCTTGTCTCAAAAACCCAAAAACCAAACAACGTCCAGAGCCTGCTTAGCAATGGCGTGCAAGGCATTGATGTCCAAAATCAAAAGATTTATCATCGAAAGGCTCAGGAACACGTTTTAAACATGGCAAGCCCTACTGCTGCTCATCAGCTGGCAACACCCATTCAAGTGAGCTGGAAACATGAAGTCCAAGCAGTGGCTTGAGGTCCAAACAGTGACTGACCCACCCTAACCCAGAACCTTGCACGTCACGCAGGGCAGTGCATTCACTTCTCTGTGTAGGTGTCTCGGATCAAGTTGAGTGTCCACATCACTGCTGCAGAGACTGTAGTTTAGAGTGTCTCTCTCCATAGATTGCATGAGTCAAACCAGGAAGGGGCATGAGGGACAAAGTGATGCTCAAGCTGCTCGCCATCCGTGAAAGACAGTGCCAGGTGGACAGCCCTAAGCAAGGACTTCAAGCCCCCTGTCCCCAAACACTATGGAAACTTCAAAGAGGCTGGAGGCCCCTCTGTGCAGGACACTGGGACCCTGAGCACTGTGGAGCAGGGGGTCTGCAGTGCAGACCCTCATCCCCGGGGCATCTGATGCTCCTTAGAACCATGCTGCCCAGAGCAGACCCCTAAACACTGACACTGCTGCAGCTCCCGTGTCTCCCCTCCTCCGGCTGCCTTTCCCAATCTTGCTATATTCAGAGACACCTAATTATATCACCATATGCTTTGAAAAGAACATTTCTTTCACTGCATTTAAACACACAGATGGTGAAATATTTGTCAGCGTGGCTTCCAGAGGAGGAAGAATTCATGTTCTGTACGACCCTGGTGAAGGCCTTCCAGATGAACTTCGGAACAGCCGGGTTCACAATTTTCTTGACATACTTTTGCGTGTTGGATTAATTAACCCATTCCATGAGACTGTGTCATTTTCTATCAAGATTTGAGTGAACATGGGTTAGTTTAGTAGTTGATATCATTTTAATTGGATTTGAAATGGGGTATGGATCTCCAAGGATCTTCAGCTGGTCAGGGTAGTCAGAAGTATTAATTACTGCACTTCAGAATGTGAACTTATTGTCTGAAAGTCCTACAGCCCTCCTGAGTTCCCAGAGCCATGGACACATCCCTCTCAGCCCTACCTTAGGACTCAGATATCTGAGCATTATGAAATGTAATAGTCACCCAAATGTTTCAAGAATTTTTTCACAGGCCTTCTGTTACTGACTTTTAAATTAGCTTACTGAAAATGCACTTGTAGTACCGGGAAATTTTCAATTTTTATTTTTCTTTCTTATTAGTCCAGTTTGCAGGACATAATGATGACATGTATCATGGGGAGTTGGCACATGGACATCTCTTTTTTTTTTTTTTCTTAAAGGAACACAACATGGAATCTATTGTGCCCAGGTGCAGGCAGACAGAGGGCATAAGGCCATCTGTGAGGAACAAGGAGGGCTTTTGTATAGTGCTTGAAAGAAGGCAAGGGACATTAGGCGGGAAGACCTTAGTAAACAGCAGTGGTCCAAAGTTCTCTAAATGTCTGGTGCCTCAGTGGGCAAAGTCCTCGGGTGTTGGATGTAAATGTTTGGGTGTTGTCAGATGTCCTGGTGCTTGGAAGTTCCCAGGCGCCATCTTACCTCTTTTCAGGACACCCCATGTTTGCCGAGGGCTCTGGTGCTGAGCTGTGTCTTCTCTGAGGACAGTGCTGCTGACAAACAGGTTGGGTGCTGGGAAAGTCCTGTCTGAGTCGAGCCTGGCAGTCAGGTACACCGCCTCCATGTTTCCCGAGCTTGAAGAATGAACTCTAAGGAACAACGAAGGTTAAGAGGAGGAAAAGGTACTGGGGAGAAGGAACAGGGACTAGGAATGAGGTGTAAGAATCGCTCCTGAGAGGCAGGAGGGTCCGGATGGGGTTGCCCTTACTTCTGTTTATGTCTCTCATTCCCTACCCTTTGCCTTCCTCCCTGCTCCATCCAACTCTTCATCCCAGTCTCATTTGCAAAAGTCCTATTTTCCTGGTTTTTTCCTCAAAGACATAACATTACAGTGTTGTGTGCACACCCATGTTTATAGCAACGCAATTCATAGTAGCTACACCTTGGAAGCAGCCTCTATGTCCATCAACAGGTGACTTGATAAAGAAAGTGTGGAACTTACACACAGTGGAAAAAAAAAAAAAAAAAAACTTACACACAGTGGAACACCGCTCTGCCAATATTGTGTTTCTTGAATGCCTTGACCTACTACAGTCAAATGAAAAGCATTGGCCAGTGTTACCAAAGTTGTTTAAATAAAAATTTTATGTAAGTGCATGTGAGAAATACATGTGTCAAAATCCCCATCACACAGGTCAGAAAATGTGCGAGTTAACTGTGGCTCTTCCATTAGCTTTTAGTTCAGTTCCGGCCACATTAACCCATCCTCTGGGGCTCAGCACCCTTATTTGCATGACAAGGATGTTGCACTATGACACTTCCATGGCCCATGGAAGCCTTGTCGAAGAAGCCCCGGTCTGTGAAGACAGCAGAGAGAAGAGAACAGAGTGAATGCTGAGCCTGAAATGGATTCTAGCAGGTATTTCTAACAGAAAATAAATCTGTTGATATTTATTGAAAATATTACATTGTCATGATAATAGCATTAAGAGACTACTGGGTAATATTCTATGATTCTGGACAAAGGAAGACTATAGGGATAGAAGTCAGATTTGGGTGGGGGTAGAGAGAGGTGGGTACCAAGGGCAGCACCAAGAATCAGAGGCATGGTGGACTGTTCTATAGCACAACAGCAGTAGTGAATATACGATTTTACACACTACCAAAAGCTATAGAACTACACAGCACACAGAGTGAATTCATTTTATGTTAAACAATTTTTTTTTTAAAATAGGGTCTCACTATGTAGGCCAGGATGGACTTAAACTCACAGCCATTCTCCTGCCTCAGCCTCCCAAGTGCTGAGAGGCATGTGCTACCATGGCCAGTCCTGAACGTAAAATTTTAAAATGAAAAGTTGCTTGAAAGCTTTCATAATCACTGTGCTCTTTGAAGACCTAGACCCAGAAACCAAGCAGGAATAAGGAAGACTAGTTAAGTCAAGCCAGGTGTGTGGTGCATGCCTGTGGTCTTAGCACTTGGGAGGCTGAGGCATGAGCACTACTGCAAGTTCAAGGCCAGTCTGGGATACATAGTGAGACTCTATCTCAAAAAAAAAAAAAAAAAGTTTTGCTAAGTCTACATCACATATATAGCTGCAAGGGAAGCTGGAAAGATGAGTGTCAAATTCAACTTTATAATAATAGATGGATGCTGCCTTTAAAATTATGGATAGGTAGAAAATTATCTTGAATATAGAGATGGGTTCCAATAGTAGAAATCAAAATATGCACTAAAAAATAATACAAAATAAATGCCAATGGCCATTTCCAATAGAGACTTGCTGAATCCTGTCTCTGCCCTAGGCATTCTCACCCTCACCCAGCCGTGCCATGAAAGGCTACCACAAGCCAGACCCATAGAAGCTGCAGGCCTTGAAAGACACAGCCAGCCACTCGTGCCCCAGCTCCATCCAGGCCACCCCGCTGCAGGCTCAGGCCACCCCATGTCCTGCTGCAGTGCTGCTGAGACCATGGCTGTTCTCTTTTCCACACCATACACTACAAGGCCCTGGACCCCCAGAATCCTCACAACAATCGCTTTTTACTGTCCAAGAGACACGCAGCTCCCATCCTTTTTGCATCTGGGCTGAAGCTGGCTTCCTGCCTGATGCAGAGCTGCTGGACAACCTGGATGGACACCCTCTCCCAAAACAAGCTTTCATGGATGTGGCCACTGGTTCACAGGCCAGGACCTTGGAGCTACTTGTAGAATGGCCTACACAGGCAAATACTTGAAAAAAGCCAGTTACCGAGTCTATTGCATGCTGAGAGATGGGGAGCTGGCTGGGGCTCCATGTGGGAGGCTGTGGCCTTTGCTGGCATTTACTAGCTGGACAACCTTGTGGTCATTGTTGACATCAACTGCCTGGGCCAGAGTGGCCCTGCTCCACTGCAGCACTGGTGGACATCTACCAGAAGAGCTGCAAAGGCTTTGGCTGGTACTCCGTCATTGTGGATGGACACAGCATGGAGGCCTTTGCGCAGGCCAAGCACCAGCCCACAGCTATCATCACCAAGACCTTCAAGGGCCGGGGATCACAGGGATAGAAGATAAGGAGTCCTGACACAGGAAGTCCCTCCCCCAAAACATGGCCAATCAGATCATCCAGGAAATCTGTAGCCAGATCCAGAGCAAAAACAAGATCACGGTAGCACCCCCACAGGAGGATGCCCCCTCAGTTGACATGGCCAACATTCGCATGCCCTCTCCACCCAGCCACAAAGTTGGGACCAAGATAACCACCCACAAGGCCTATGGGCGGCACTGGCCAAGCTGGGCCACAGCAGTGACTGCATCATTGCCCTGGATGGGACACGAAGAACTCCACCTTCTCAGAGATCTTCAAAAAGGAGCACCTGCTGGGCATGGTGGCACATGTCTGTAATCCCACCACTTAGGAGGCTGAGGCAAGAGGATCATCATGAGTTCAAGACCAGCCTGGGCTATGAAGTGAGCTCAAGGCCAGCCCGAACTGCATAGCGAGACCCTGCCTCAAAAAGACAAAACAAAGGAGCACCTTGCTGTTTTATTGAATGCTACATCACAGAGCAGAACATGGTGAGCATTGCCATGAGCTGTGCCACATGCAATACGACTGTGCTCTTCTGCAGCAATTTCACAGCCTTCTTCACATGGGCCTTTGACCAGATCCGCATGGCAGCTATGTCCGAGAGCACCGTCAACCTCTGTGGCTCCCACCATGGCGTGCCCATCGGGGAGGACAGGCTTTCTCAGATGGCCCTGGAGGATCTGACCATGTTTCAGGCAACCCCCATGTCAACTGTCTTCTACCCAAGTGACAGAGTTGCTACACAGAAGGTGGTGGAATTAGCAGCCAGTACAAAGGGCATCTGCTTTATCCAGACTAGCGGCCTGGAAAACACTACCATCTACAGCAACAACGAGCACTTCCAGGTTGGAGAAGTCGAGGTGGTTCTGAAGAACAAGGACGACAAGGTGACCATGACTGGGGCTGGGATGACCCTGCATGAGGCCTTGGCTGCCGCTGAGCTGCTAAAGACACAGAAAATCAACATCTGGGTGCTGGACCCCTTCACGATCAAGCCCCTGGACAGAAAACTCATTCTTGATAGCACTCGAGCGACCAAGGGCAGGATCCTCACAGAGGAGGACCACTGCTCTGAGGGTGGCATTGGTGACGAGGTGTCTGATGCAGCTGTGGGTGAGCCTGGAATCACTGTCACCTGCCTGGCTGTTTGCCAGGTACCAAGAAGGGGGAGGCCAGCTGAGCTGCGGAAGATGTTTGGTACTGACAAGGATGCCGTCGCACAAGGTGTGAGGGGTCTTGTCACCAAGGGGTAGCGAGGGCTTGGTATGTGGGGGACAAGATCTGCACATTACTAGAAGACTTGGAAAAAGTGCTCAAAGATGTACTGAGAGGAGAGAAAATATGTTTTGAGAAAAATGAAAAAAATATAGAGATGAAATAAAGCCTTTCATAAAAGCAGCAATTAGTAAAGCACTTTAACAGTAGCTTATTTCCTATAATCCCAGCACTGTGGAGGACTGCAAGTTTGACCCCAATAACTTACAAGACCTTGTCTCAAAATAAAAAATATTTTTAAAGTCTGGGATATAGTTCAGTGTGAAGGCCCTGGGTTCAATTCCCAGTACTGAGAGAAAAAAAAAGAGCTAATTTCCTGTTTAAATATGTTTCATTTAACATGAAGCAGTACATTATCATAGGAAAAGAACCAAAGCAGATGCCCATAAATCTTGAATTCATAGACAAAGCTCTTGCCATCTTTAAGACTTTAGTCTCATATACATAAAACAGAGCTATTACAGAATTATCCCAAGAGGGAAATGAGGAGGAGACTATGAATGAGTTCTTAAATTCGAAACATCCTACCTCAGTGTGAGTCCTGGAATAAGATGTCGCTTTTAAATAACTCAGAGCTCAGCGTGTTGAAATGGTGAGCTCTCCAAGATATGCTTGCTGGAGGAGAAATTTCTTTTTCTGGTTTAAACTGTTTTTTTTTTTTTTTTCCGGTACCTGGAATCGAACTCACGACCTTACGTTTGCCAGGCAGGTGCTGTGCAGCTGAGCTAAATCCCCAGCCCCTAAATTGTTATTTTTATTAGTGCAGGTTTGCAGCACATAATAGTTAATGCTCTCGGGGAGAGTGGGTACACACACACACAACACATCTTAGTTCTTTGTTCACCCTCTTCTCTTCCCTCCACTGCCTTCCCTTCCCTTCCCTTTTATAAAAGACCTTTCTTCCTACTTCTTATGATCTATCTTTTGTTTTGCTCTTTATTTACATTCTGGGTTTCTCATATAAGAGAAAGCATGTGATGTTTTCATGTTTTCATAGGAGAAAGCTCCTATGTCTGATTTATTTCACTTAACATTATAGTCTCGGGGGCTGGGGATTTAGTTCAGCGGCAAAGCGCCTGCCTGGCAAGTGCAAGGTCGTGAGTTCGGTTCCCGGTACCAGAGAAAAACAAAAAAAAAAGAAAACATTATAGTCTCAAAGTGCATCCGTTTCCCTACAAGTGACTCAAGTTTATCCCTCTTTATGGCAGCGTAGTGCTCCATTGTGTGTAAAGGGAGCGCTACTGTTTCTTACAACAAGAGTACTTTCCCCTGGTTGATTATCCATTGTTTCCTATTCCAGTGCTCTCGGTTCCCAGGGCTCTCGGTCCTCCAAGGCGGGTGCCTGCTCCATGCAGCCTGGCTGGAGTCTGCACGTAGGGAGTGGAAGCCAGAAGCCCTTCTTGGACGTCTGCACCTCTTTCTCCTGGACCATTTCCACTGCACTGGGGAAACTTCCACAGAACGGAGCACTGGTTCCTCTGTTCTATTTCAGAAGCCATGGCTTATACTCTGCCCTCCATGGAGCAGCTGGTTCTTTCTCAAGAGTCCTAAAGTGGAAGGATTTAGCATCAAAATTCTAACCAAAACAGCACGTCATTTCAGCAGCAGGAAGAAAAGCCTTGGAACAATACCTATAAAATAATTCTGATTCTGTCAAAATAAAAATGTCCCCAGTTCTCTGTATGCGAGTATATGATTTTTGCAAATACATTTTTTGAGAGTAAAAGGGATGCACACCAAACTCTAATTTTGCCTGTCCTGGGAGGACAGGAGGGAACGGCGGTCATCAGAGGAAGTGTGAGAGGGCTGCTGGCTTTCCCTCCACGTGGTCCATACTGCATGGACATTTACAGGGAGCAGGTTTTCACGTACTGTGTGCAGCACTTGGGAAGAGGGAGCGCACTGCTGGACACTATGACACATGCCTGTAATTCCCACACTTTGGGAGGCTGAGGCAGGAGGATCAAAAGTTCAAGTCCCTCCTAGAAACTCAGCAAGATCCTGTTTCAAAATAAGCAAAGCTGAGCATGGTGGCACATGCCTGTAATCCCAGCACTCGGGAGGCTGAGGCAGAAAGATTGCTGAGAGTTCGAGGCCAGCCTGGGCTACATAGTGAGGTCACAGCCAGCTTGAAATACGTAGTGAAACCCTGTGTCAAAAAAAGACAGATAGATAGATAAGAAAAATGGCTGGTGATGTAGCTCAGTGCAAAGGCCCTGGGTTCTATCACAAGTACTACAAAAGAAAAAAAAGATAAAATTCACCAGTTTTTAATATAGAGAAAAATAACTTGCTGAATGCTGGTACTCTGAGAAATGGCAAACACACAGGAGGTTCACTTAAGCAAATATATAGCCTTACATAAAATCATCATCTTCCAAAACAGGAGTTCTACCAAAAAAAAATGAGAACCTGTGAAAACGCCATTAAAAGAAAATGATGAAAGATAAAACAAAATAATTCCTCCCTTTTAAGTTTTACTCTTTTTTTTCTTTTTTTGAGACAGCTGCTATTGAGCTCACTGTGTAGCCCAGGCTGGCCTCAAGCTTGTGGCAATCTGCCTGCCTCAGCCTCCTGAGTGCTGGGATTACTTAGGTTTTACTCTTGGTCTGTTTAATACGATGCCATTTCTGAGCCAGTCTTAGAAATGGGCTATTAGGTAACAGGCATTTGTAGACATGGGTGAAAGATGGTGAGTGAGCTATGAGCCAGAGAGACGGTACAGTCTGCCCAGGCAGAGCCTGGCGTTCCTCTTCTGGGGAAGGCAGTGTTCCTTCCCGGCTCTGTCTGTGTCTCCACACCTAGACACACACAGCACATGCATGCTTGCCCACTGTGCATGCGTGTTAACAGCTCACACACACAGACATTCCTTACTGGTCTTCCCCACAAGCGCCACCGCACGCCCATCCCCCCCGAGCCACGTGACGATACCCACAGTGACCGCCGGTGGGAGACTGTAGCCACGAAACACACGGTCCTGTCGTCCGCAGCAGCGGGTGGGTTCGAGCCCTGGTCAAATCCTGTGTTCCCAGAGTCCCCGCAGCTGTGGTGACTGTTTGTCTCCTGCAGGGCTGTGGGCCAGGCTGGATCCCAGGGGTCCCCCTTGCTCTATAGGGGCATCTTCTTCTCACCCCTACTTCCTCCTGAGCTGTACTCTGCCCTCCACAGCTTCCACCCCAGAACCCGGTGGTCTGAGAACCAAGGGAAGCTCAGGATCAAAATTCCGGTCCCTCCCAGAGCCCGCAGGACACCTGTAGCCCAGGCCTGCACCCCTCTCTGTCCAGGATCTGATATCTGACCTGACTCTCCCAGGCCGGTGGCCCTCAGGCAGCTGTCACTCTAGGCAACACCCGCAGTGCCTGGCAGCTGAACTTCTCTCCTCTATCCTCGACCTGCAGCCGGCTCTTCCCCGCCAGCCTCACCAGCCAGCGCTGGCTGTGATGCCCGTGTCCCTCCCACCCCCAGCAGGGCAGTGAGGGACAGGCCGCTGCCCGAGGCCCAAGCCTCCCACGATGCACTATCAGAGAATGCAGCTTGGAAATGTGCTGCAGAGTCAGCTCCCTGCCACCCCACGCATCCCAGGTAGGCAGGTGACCAAGCCATTTGGGGGCGCAAACGGTCACAGAACAGGTGCTGGTAGAGAGAGCAGCGTACGCGGCCCAGCCACTGGGGCCCACAGGGCATCAGGAGAAGAGGGCACTGCAGGGTGAGCCGCAGAAGTGACCAGGGCGGAGAGAGGCCCGCAGACCCTGGCACTGCCGCCCTGGCCCAGCTGGAGGGCCGCACTGAGCGCCCACCTACAGCCAAGGGATGCTGTGAGGGTGGGGGGAACCTGGAACCGCTCTCAGAGGTCGAGCCACTTCATGTCCCTGAGCAGAGCGTGCGAGAAGCTCTGTCCGTTTGCAAAGCAGAGATCCCCACAGTGGGATTCTTTCTTCTGCGGTTAGCACTAACGCCGCCAGCACGGGGTTGCTCCTGAGTTTGGACAAGGTATATTCTCGTCAGCTAGAGCCAGGGATACAATTACACCTCACGACCACTGCTAATCTTCTGTTTGGTTGGCTGGTTTTTGGTTTTTTGAAACAGGATCTTTCTTCATATTCAGGCTGATCTTGAACACACGGCAGTCCTCCTGCCTCAGCCTCTTGAGTACTGGGATTACAGGCATGCACCACCACACCAATCTAATACTAACCTTTATCTGCCCAAATTTTAAAACATCAGTACAGCTTTTATGTACTTTTCCACACGCCCTCATTTTTTTGGATAGGGTCTCCATATGCAGTTCAAGCTGGCCTTGAACTCACTATGTAGCCCAGAGTAGCCTCAAACTTGTGGCAACCTTCCTGCCTCAGCCTGCTGAGTGCTGGGATTACAAGTATGTACCACCAGGCCCCCTTACTCCTTCTTTAACTTTAGAAATTAAATTTCATTAACTTTCCTCTAATACCTGGGAGATTTACATGGGGTTTCCAAAAATTTTTGCTGTTTTCCAAAGTTTTACAAGTATCGGCCTGAAGCAATCTGAGCACCCCATGAATGGGCAGGCTCCAAGCCTGGACTGTTACCTAACAGGTGAGAACTGGTTTTTTGGGGGTTTTTTTGGGTTTTTTTTTGGTTTTTTTTTTTGTTGTTGTTTTTCTCCAGTACCAGGAACTGAACTCACGACCTTGCGCTTGCCAGGCAGGCACTTTGCCACTGAGCTAAATCCCCAGCCCCGAGAACTGCTTTTGACCTTCGCTCTCGCTGGCCAGTTCAGCCCTGAGCGGGTAACCAGTGGAGCAGCAGAGAAGCCCTCTTATTCCATCCTGTCACCGGCCCTGAGCAGGACTTCTTTGCCCAAATCCCGATCTCCATCCTCCACCTTCTCCACCTCTGGGCCTGGAAACTTCCTTTTCCTGTTCCGGATCAATCAATCTAGTGAACAAATCAGCTTCTGAGCAGAAACAAGCACAGGAAGAGAAGACAGTTACAGCGAGAGGGGCCGCAGCCTCCACGGACTTCTGCCTGGCTGTAATGGAGCATTGCCCCAAATCACCCTCATTAGCAAGCGCTGGAGACACTGAAGGCCCAGTCTGCCTAAGACCCCTATGAAAAGCAGCTGTGCGGTCAGTGAGCACAGGAACGAGGATGAAAGCCAGGCTGGATGAGGCGTGGACCCGAGCCTCAGCTCTGAGCTGATCATCAGCAGACTCAGAGATTTAAAGGCAAGAATGAGGGAATGTGGCCAGATGTGTTGGCTCACACCTGTAATACTAGCACTCAGGAGGCTGAGGCAGGAGGATTGCTGCAAGTTCCAGGCCAACCTGAATGACACAGCAAGACCCTGTCATGAAAAAACCCCAAAAATAAAAAATAAATAAAAATTAAAAAGAAGATCTGTAGGAAGATGGTGGAGTTGTAAGCAGCAGAGAAATAGCCTCTCTGAGATTTGGTGTCCAGACGCTGGAATATAGCAACATGAATAAGAGAAGTGGGTCCCTTGGACCCAGCAAGGATCTGAAGCAAGAACTGAAGCCCGCAGGGATGTTGGGGACTACTACAAAGTGGCTCTGAGCAGGATTTGATAGTAACCAATTGGCTTTCTGTGTTTACTTGAGAGTTGTCTGAAGCTTAGGCACCTGGTCCGACAAGATAAGGCAGCAGCTGAGGATGTTTGGCTCCAACCCCAAGTACTACAAGGAGACTGCAGCTGCAGGCCCCACACTCCTACAATAAATATCAACCTAAAGATAAGGTAGTTCTCCTGACTGACATAATTTACTACTTGAGAAACTTCTCCCAATGTCCTGCAAGATTCCCGCATTTTCTTGAGTATCCTCCTCTTTTGTTTGAAAACCAAATAAATATGGGCCACCCGGAGAAGTCTTTGTCTAACTCAGAGAATACTGAAGCTGTAAGAGAGTCAGTCCCTCCTGGAGCCCCGAAATCATTTCCACTGTCTCATTTATTTAAGTCTTCGCCGTCCACTCACTTAGGAGATTGCGGGCCTGATCAGCCTGCAATAACTTAGGGTTATTTAGCCCAGTTTTCAATACAGGGAGAGTGAGGAGAGAGACCTCAACACAAAAGAAGGAGATGGCAAGTGGCACTTTCTTCCTGAGCCCTGACTCTGCATGGGAGAGGCAGCTCAGACCTGCAGATATATGGTGACCACCAGAGACCTCCAGAGAAACACACCAGTGGGACAGAGCAGTGGACACAGCAAACTGCAGGGGCTGGTGGATTATCCGGGCTCAGGTATCCCCCAGAAGGGGATGATTGGCCAGGGGTCATGTTGGAGGGGACC